AATTTTCTGTGGCATAAAAGTTAATAAGTCAATAAATCGATACTATATTACCAATATGATGATGTGTACTATTGTGATTCGTCAATGTCATCATCATCCCTGGCGTTACTTGGCCATTTGAGGTTATCTTTACGAATCCTTCTTTTTCATTCATTTCTGATGATTGTTGGATGGTTTAAACAAATATTGTTTCAACACTAACACTTTTGCCAGGTTACTAATGAATTTCATTATGCCTTTTGACATTGATTTTGCATCTCTGCCTTGTTGATGAGTCTTGTATTCTCTATCGCACCTTCCAGAATTAAGTTGGACTATTTTTCAGGTGATAGATCGTATAAAAACCCTAATCAAGCTACTTTTAGATTCTATATCATGATATATAGTCATTTGAGGGTGTTGGCATAATCATTTGAGGTTGGGAGATTGTACAGGGGAGGGAAAGAGAAGACATTCTTTTTTATTTTCTGGTTTTTGATTTAGCGCTGTTGCTTATTTTGGCAGCGGATAAGTTGTTTTGGAGCATTTTAGGAATATTGAAAGTAAGGAAAATATTCTTTTCAAGGAAGAAAACATAGAAGCTTTGTGTAGCGATGGGAAGATGGCAAAGTGACTTGAATTAGCACAAGAGTGATGTAGATGAAAGGAAAAAGATATATATATTTTATAACAATTCATAGTTGGTTTATTGGAGTGGTATTAAACTTTTTTCTATAAGTGCCGCAAATGTAGATGTCATATGTTATTATCTAGAATAACATTGCCGAGAGAATTTCTAGCCATTGCGTCGCTGAACAGCTTAGATAATCTACTTGCTTCTATTGTTTAAGAATCTAAGTGATGCAGTATCCACGTAATAGTTATTGATTGTTTTCAAATTTCATTGTGTTAAAACGTGCCTATAAGTAGAATTATAACTAAAACATCATTATTGTTATTGATTATATGTTTGGAATCATTTTAATCATCATCATTTTTCCAACCAGTTGGGATCATCTTTATGAATCCTTTCATGTTTGGAATCATATTAACCCACTTATGCTTTTTTTTTTTTCACAACATTTGTTTAAGGTAACATTGGTCTACCTTTTTTTCGTGCAATGGCTTTAATATTACTTGTCTTTCCATCTTTTTAATGCATCTCATCTCCATTCTAAATGCCCAGATTGCCTAAATCTATCTTGCTAAGATTAAATAGCATACCATTGTTTGTCTTCATTTAGATTCTATTTTGTGATCTATATCTTCTTCAATTATGTGATTTTTGTCATTTTAATTGTTCACTTATTGATTTGTTAGCTTCAACTCCAAAACTTTATATTTACCTATCAATAATCAGCCTTGTAATTTTGAGTATCAATTCCAGTGTGCAGGAGGCAAAGATATTTGTTTAGTGTATAAGTTTAATGGTTTTAATTATCAATCTCTTAATGTTATCTAATACGCTCACAATGAGAGGTTGTAATGCTTAGGTAAAGACTTTTGAAATTTTTTGGAGGTTCTTTATTCGTTATTAGTCAATTAAAGCCTTAAAGGCACCTCTAGTATTATTCACGCTGTAGATGAGTCCCTTCTCTGATTTGGACTTCACCTTGCTGTGGACGGCAGCACGCAAACTCAAAATTGTGGCTTTCCTGCTCTGCACAGCAGCTATCTTGCTGTTTTTGCTTCTGGATTCCTCAGGTTACTGCTTTCTGCACTTGGTTAATTACAGCAATCTGGAAAGTTCAGTAGCAGCGGCAGAATAGCAGTGGAGCTGCATAGAACAGCAGCAATGTTGGCAGCAGGGCCAATAGCAAGGCAGAAATAGGCAACATCACACAATCCAAGACAGAAGTAGAAGATAGAGAGCCAGGGCAGCAGCTGGTAGAAGGCAGCAGATGCAGAGAACAGCAGCAGGGGTCTCCCAAAAGCAACAACTGCTTCTACAGAAAAATAAGGTGACCTAAGATTATGTCTATAGTACACTGAACCAAAAACTGAAAGCAGACGAAGAGAGGGACATTGAAAGATTCTTAGGGGAATTCTCCGGGTTCTCGGTTGAAATTCCTGCAGAAATTGAGAAATATAACTAAAATAAGATCTAATCCTGTTTAATACAAACTCACAGAAATTCATAAAATAGGAAATTGGAATTTTGTGAAGATTGCATCCTCGGTAAAAGCTGTTGGATTAAGTTTCGAGCTACAGTTCATATAGAAGCTTGCAATGTCCCTGAAGATTGCATCCTTTAGTGCATCTTAGACTATATTTACAGAGCTTTATGGAAACCGTTAAGAGTTCAATCGAGAGGTGGTGCAAGGTATTTCATGTCTATTATAGTTGATTATTCCAAAAGAGTGTAGGTCTATTGTCTCAAAACAAAAGATCAAGTTCTTAATCCCGTTAAAAACTAGAAAACTCTTATGAAAAATCAGGTATGAAGAAGAATAAAAAAGCTGCTAACAAATAATGAACTGGAATAACGTTCAAATTTATTTGACAAGTGCTGTGGAAAAAGAAATTTCTAACACACAACAGTAAGGGATACCCGGTTGCAAATTGGGCTGGCTGAACTGATGAACTGAACGTTTCTTGAAAGAGTGAAGCATTTTAACAAGTGCAAATTTGAAGGAAATTTGGGCAGAAAGTTTGAAGATTGCAAGTTATTTGGTGAATAGTTGCACTTAAACAGCTTTACAAAACAACCATGATTGGATTTGTGATCCTCCTGATTATGCAAATCTGTGAGCATTAAGATGTATAACTGATGATCATGTTAGACGAGATAAATTGTAACCACAAGCATTGAAATGTGCATTTCTGTGTTACCATGATGGCGTTAAATTGTTGTTTCATGCAGTGAAAACCTAATTGGAAAGTCATAGGTTTAGGTGGGAAAGTGGTGAGGAGCTGATAGCTGTAATATAGCATTCAACCAATCAAGAAGATGACTTGCAGCCACCCGTCAAAAAGGAAGACCAACAATAATATAATCTCACGAGAGAGGGGACTAAGCATGCAAGAAAACCTCCACAAAGATTTGGATTTGCAGACATTATAGCGTATGCATTTTATGCGATGTTAGTTTCAGAAGAATGGGAACTAATAACTTATCATCAAACATTTAATTATAAAGACCTAGCTCATTGGCTACTCTCAATTAATGAGTAAACGAATTCATTGCATAATAACAATGCCTATATTCTTGTTTACTACAAGTCAAACGTATCATAGGTTAATAGGTTGTAAATGAGTATTCAAGAGGAAAGATGAAAATCTTGGTATTGAAATGCCTCAATTTAAGACATGGTTGTTTGCCAAAGGCTTTAAATAAAAAAGAGGGATTAGATCTCAATCAAGTATATTGTTAGTGGCAAAACAAACATTCATTAGAATAATGGTATTCATCATTGCTAAATTTGATTTAGAGCTCGATAAATTTTATGTTAAAACTGCCTTTCTATTTGGAGATGTGGAGGAGATATTCAACATCCTGAGAGTTTTGTGGAAAGAAATCATAATCAAGTTTGTTTCTTGAAGTAATTCATTTATGGTCTGAAGCAGTCATCTAGATAATGTTATATTGGGTTTGATCAGTTTATGAAGCAAATTGGTTTCATAAGGTGCAAGTTGGATAGCTGTGCTCATTTCAATTGAAGGTAATGTTTTGGTGTATGGTCTGCTCTATATTGATGATAAATCTGTCATCTCAAGAATTAGTTGCGTCTGGAATTTGAAATGATGGATATGGGCACAACTAGTAAAATTTTATTAATACAAAATTAGAGGAGAGAGAAAACTGTCCTACTCACAAAAGCAATAATTGGAAAAGGCAATATAGCTAGGCAGTAAAAACACCTTTGGCTTCTGATTTTAGCTTAGCAACTGAAACTGCACTGCGGAATTTCTATATGGATGAGGTTACATAGACCAACTTTGTCGGTAATTTAATGCATGGAATGATATGCACAAGGTTAGCCTATTCAATCAGTGTTAGCCATTTCATGGAAAATCTAGTAAGAATGCATTGGCAAGCATTGAAATGGATTCTCAAATATGTTTCAGGGCTCATTAAATTTGGGATTATCATAAGGAGGTGAAGATGTTTCCAATGAAATTATAATCGGATGTAACTGCTCTCATGTTATACAAGTTTGTGGAGGCATTATGAGTAAGAAATTATCCTTGCAACATATAGTGAAATTATCCATAACTAAAGTTGAGTTCATGCATTTACTGAAGCCATCAAGGAAGGACTTTGGTTACAAGGCTTTATTGAGGAATAGGGTACAGGAAGATATTATAATATTCTGTTATAATGAAAATGCTGTAGATTTTATGACGAATTAAATTTTTTATGAGCATTCAAAATACATTGATATCAAATTACATTTCTTGAAGAGGTGTAATTACCGAAGGGGCTATCAAAATAGCGAAGATTGATACATGCAATCGTACTAACATGGATTTATAGGGAGGGATAGATGCACGCAATATTACTATCCTGCATTAATAAAGACCTTTCCGTGATTTCAACTTCGGACATTTGGATTATAACTTAGCCAAATCTCCAAGCTCTCCCTAAAACAAAAGAATTTGAATTTGTAAATTCATCATTTAACAACAGAAGTGCAAATTTACATGGTTTTTAAAATTCATCCAACTAAATTAGCATTTAGTAGAAACCAAATTCTGATTATCATTTGCCTTTATAATATAATTTCTAAAATAATTTTTTTTTTCTTGGTAACCTTATTGTGATGCCGTGAGATAAAGGAAATTTGTAAAGCTCGAGCTACAGTTAAAACTTGTATGCATTCTTTTCTTGATTTGACTTTATTGATTCTTGCTACCATCACAATCATCATCATCAATTTCTGTCACTCTTTTTGTTTTCTTCATTTACAATCTGTGTGATCAGGGTTAAGATCGAATAAGAGCATTGGTTTTGAAATCTTAGATTGGACTATTTGGTGCTGTGTTACATTATTAGTATAAACGGATTGCTTTCTTTGTAGGGGTTGGCAAGAGTTGTCTCCTTTTACGGTTCTCGGATGGCTCCTTCACTACTAGTTTCATTACCACAATTGGGTATGTTCTACAAGGATCTACTTTTTTGGTTGCTTTCTAATTCTAAATTTTCTCTCCTTCAAGCAGTTTATTTACTTTCAGCATTTCTGATTACTTTTGCATGTTTTTTTTGCAGTATTGATTTTAAAATAAGAACTATTGAGCTTGATGGCAAGCGTATTAAATTACAAATTTGGGATACAGCCGGTCAGGAACGCTTTAGAACAATTACAACTGGTATGCTTGCTATTTAGAACAATTACAACCCTTCCCTTGATATTTGGAGCTGCTAATAAGCTTTTTTTTTTACCTTCTTTTCAACTGTAGCTTACTATCGAGGGGCCATGGGCATTTTACTTGTTTATGATGTAACTGATGAGTCATCCTTCAACAGTAATAACTGCTATCTTATTCTACTAAGATTTTATTTAAATTATACTTTTCAAATTCTTATTGTTCTGGTTTTTCAATATGCAGACATAAGAAACTGGATCAGGAATATTGAACAGCATGCTTCTGATAATGTTAACAAGATTCTAGTTGGTAACAAAGCTGATATGGACGAAAGCAAAAGGGTACTCTTTCCCCTCATCTCAATCTATGTAGCCAGAAGGCTGACATGGACCATATGCACATAAGCCATGATTTTTGAAACTTTTTGTCAAACGTAAATGTGGATTTAGCTCTTATGCTTTAAAACATTTCTATTTCTCAGGCCGTCCCTACCTCGAAGGGTCAAGCACTCGCCGATGAATATGGTATCAAGTTTTTTGAAACTGTAAGTGTCAAGCTCTTCTATATGTTCTAAGATGAATTCAATAGATAAATATTTAATATTACACTACTCTCAAAACATATTTAAGGATTTTGAGATCCATTTTACTCTCTCTCTCTCTCTCTATATATATATATATATTCACATTTCCATCCGTCCTTACATCTGATGGAATTCCCATTCAGAGCGCAAAAACAAATCTAAATGTGGAGCAAGTTTTCTTTTCAATTGCTAGAGACATCAAGCAGAGGCTTGCAGAATCTGATAACAAACCTGAGGTATGCTTCCTTGATCATTACAGGACCACTAAGGTCTTTAAATCCATGGTTGCTCTTCGTATTCTGCATTCCTGAAATTTGTCATTTTGTTAATCAACAGGAACGGACAATCAAGATCAACAAGCCAGACCAGTCCTCCGGTGACAGCAAAGCTCCAGAGAGATCGGCCTGCTGTGGTTCTTAAAGAAGTACAAGGGATTGGAAGCGGTGCTTTTTGGGCTGGTTGCTGTTTGATCTTATTTTGAACTAATATGAGAATTATAGTTAGTGATTTGGCTGATGCTTTGTATTTTAATCCGATCATTCTTTACACTCGCTGATCCTGCGTGCAATGTTGTTGCTTTGCTGTGCCGGGAAAAAATTGGTACTATATTGACCACTTCTATTTCTCTTTTCACTAAGCATGTTGCCCCCTTCTCCATTATGTTATCATTGCGTGTACGCATAGCTGAATCCTCTGTTGTTTCTCAACTTTTTTTTTTCTTTTTTTTTTTGAGAAAATCATCCTTATGATACTTTGAGGGAAATCAACAGAGTAAATGCTAGCTGTAATTTTATTTTTTTGTTTTGTGCTAACATTTATGTTATGTTTATTAGCATCTAGGGATTGCTTGGTTCATTCCTAGTTATCTATATTCATATGTGCTTGTGGGTGCCTTTTAGTTCCAGTTTTTGAACCCATAGATAACTGATTCTTTAATAATATATTTCTTTTAAATTAAGGTTTCGTTTGTGACAACTTTCTTACTGCTTCTTAAAGCAGTTTTATAGTACGAAAATTAAAAAATTTATACTAGAAAGCTGCTTTAAGAAGCTATAAGAAAGCTGTCCCAAACGAAGCCTGAATCTGATTCACTCTCATGTTTAAATTTTTTTTAATGCTATTTGACAATTGTTAAGGGTTATTTATGAATCATGAATGATTTGTTTTTAAATAAATAAATAATGGTTTTCTTAACTATCAAATTTTGAAACAATTATTCATTTAATAAAAAGCCAAAATTATAATTTTTTTTTTGTACAAATACAAATATGCCAACCTTTACAAGTGATGTTAGATAGAAAAAATTATTTAACTTGCAAGCACACCTATACAAAAAATATAATAAATTATAATATTACCAACTTTTGATCATTGAATCTTATATATTTGTTGTGCTTAGAGTTTTTTAAAATGAATAAATAATCTATGAAAATAGTAGTTTGAGAGGAATATCAGGGCTGAATTTTTTTTTTTTTTTTGTTGATTATTCAAGTCAGTAATAACGACCAAAAATATTATAAAATAGCAAGCAAGAAAAATAAAGTGTTAAAAAACAAAAGATGATGATTTTACTTAAGAGATGCTCCTTGCAATCTTTGATTTTCTTACTTGAGTAAAACTGTCCTTCACACAAGTTGAACAAATGGGTAGAGGAATCAATGCACCATTTATTCAAAGGAGAATTATATATTCATGACAATAATGTATTAGGGCATCACTTTTAAATCTTCTCAAGAAGGTTTGACTTAACAAAAATTTACAAGAAACTCAAAAGTAAATTACTTAAAATGAAATAATCTCACAGTTTGATCTTAGATGAGCAAAAGAATAAATAGCAAATCAAATTTTAATATAGAGTCACAAAATAAGCTAGGACTTTTTCAAGATTATCTTTAAAGATCCTATATTTACAATTATTATAAATATATTCTTTTTTTTTTTCATATAGATTTTGATAAAAATAAATTAATTAAATATGTGTTTTAAAATTTTAAATATCATGCATTATCATTTTAGAAGTATCATAATGAAAATAAATAGGATATTATATCCCAAAAATGTTCTCACTTGTCTATAACACTTTATCAAAGAATTTTTTTTACCAATTTAGGGACGAGGCATTTAGGGGTATAAACGAGTAGAGTCTAATCAAGTTTTGACACTACCGAGTTTAGCTCATCAGTCTGAAAGCTAGCTCGTGAGCCTCGGGCACGCGCTCCAACAGCCCAGTCATTGTCGAGCTCCGTCCAGAGCTGGCTAGCGGGCGCTAGCAGCACGTGAGCTCGATCATCCCGAGCTCCGTCGCATCTGCTGTCATCTCAAGCTCAATCGTTGAGCAACACGCAGATTTCATTTTCCTGCCTCGGTCACCTCCGTGAGATGCTTGACGAGCTGATGAGTCGAGCGAAGGTCTATTCGAGCTCGAGTTCGATAAGCCGTCGAGCTCGAAATCTTGTTCGAGCTTGACTCGCGAGCTCGATAAGCTCGACTCGTTGAGCCCGTTACCTATTCGAATTCGAGTCGGCTCACGAGTTAGCTTGTCTCAGTTACACTCCTAAGAGCATTTGATCAAAATTTGGTTGAGAATTTATATTGAAATAAATATGATATAAAAATTAATTATTTATGTATATCTTATACTCATCTTAAAATAAGTTCAAAAAGTTTAAATTTTCTTTATAAAAAAACTTGATGACCCAATTTTTTCCAACAAAGAGGTGATAGTGTAATTAACAAAATTTTATGATATTTAGGTGAAAGAAGACGACCCATGTGATAAAGGTCAGTGTAAGGGGGTGTTTGGTATAGGATTGGATTCAATTTTAGTAGGATTTACTAAATCCTGTAAATTCGGATTTATTAAATCTTGGGCTCTTAAATCCTGAATTATGTTTGATATGACAATTTTTAAATCCTGTTAAATTCATAAAGATGTTTGACAACAGATTACAGGATTTAAAATAGTTGGAGATTTAAAATTGAACTGAGTAATATAAAGCCACTTAATTAGCTTCCGCATCAAGTTATAAAGTTGTTTGCCATGAAGGAAATAATTAATTATTTAACTAATAAGCATACTAATTATTTAATTAATAATTTAATTACTATTTTATAAGTATTAATTACCCGCCTCATCGATGCTTCAGATCAAACGTCGAAAATGGGATTTTAGGCGATTACCCGCCTTGTCGTAGGCGCCGGACTGGGTTTCCTCCTCGGGTCTGGAGCTTTGGTTGGTGGGGAATCGGAAAACAGGAGCTAGGGCAGAGTTTGGCGTCGGGTAGGGGAGCGTCTGCTAGAGTCGGATCGAGCGGCTTGGTGGAGATCGGAGGAAGGAGCTCGGCTGCGAGTGAGGTAACTTTTTTCCGGACGTTACAACATTTTGATCTGAAGCAACGACGGTAGCTCGCTCGCTGTGAAGGTAACTTTCTCCCTTTCGCGCGCTTCTTCGGCCAAATCCCGTAAATCCGACTTCTAGCGGGATTAGGATTTTCCGGGATTTAGCGGATTTACGCCATAAATCCGCAAATCCGGGATTTACGGATTTGCCGGATTTACCGCTACTTTTTTTGCGTTTGGCTGGATTTACTGTAAATCCTACTAAAAACTCGAAATAAATCCGATACCAAACCCCCCCTAAGGGTCGGTTCAGTTTACATTTCTACAGATCTAATGCTTCGACATCAATTGTCGCTTTGAGTCGGAGATCTGATCGGTAATATTCGTCCTCTCTCGGATCACTCCGACATCAATCGCTCCTTCGAACCTCGGAGATCTCGTCCGCAAGCGTATTCTGCTCTTCTAATGGTAATATCATTAACTTGTCTTCTCCTCTTGCTGACGATCTGGATCAATCGAGATCAGCATTCCTCTTTTCCTCAATCATCCAAACTATGATTTGTAAACCCCAGCTTTTCTCTCTGTATTGTTAGAAATTTGATGGGATCTTCTAAAAAAGATTTGGCATCGAATTAGTTCCCTGGATCATTTTTTTTCCTCTTGTTCTTCTCGGATTCCGTGGATTAATTCTTGTTTTATTTTAATGTTTCCATTAAGCTAACTTTGAAATTGTTGCTGGCGTGTTGATCTACTTGAAATTTCTCCTTATAGATCTTCATGGTGCTAGATAGACCAAATTGATCAACCTAGTGAAAAATGAAAGCTCCTTGATTGAGATGGTTCTTAGCTTGAACGCTGTAATTTAGGTTTAGGAAAGTAAATTAGCTCGAAGTGAGATGTTTGGAAAAAAAAGCACATTATGTCTAAAAATCTATAAACTCGCTGTCATTCTATTTTTAAGCTCTAATGTCTTAATTAAGTTTTCATTACAGCATGAATAGCATTGAAGTTGTGCAATTCAGGCAGCAATAGCCTAGGAGGGTCATTTCTTACTGAACTTTATTTTATTAGCCAGGGCTTAAAATTTAGTATATATGAATATTTGATGAGTAGCTTAGCAATCATTGGATTATTTCAGCAGAACTTTTTGATAGGAACTAGTTAATGCGCTAAATAAAATATTTTTTCATAGGCTTTCTTCAGAGATGGAACGGTAGAGCTTAGGTCGAAAGATGATGGAAAAAATATTTTTCTCCATTTTTTGAATGATGTAAAGGCTATCTAGTTGATGAATTTTGACTTGAACAAGGAAAGGATGATTCTGTGAGATGCCCTTTATGAGGGGAAGTTTAAAGGGTGTTAAATATCTACTCTTGTTCCTGTCTATTTAAGTTAGGTTGGTTTGACAGTTAAACCGTATTACTGGGTGGTGCTTCAATTTCAGATGAATTTCAAGAAAGTAAACGAATTTCTTTAGTGCCTTTTTCTTGGAATGATTTTGAAATGTCAATGTTATCAAATGATCTCGATTTTAGGATGCTATATTTTGCTTTAGTTAGTGCATTGACTGCATACTTTACTGGATTTGGTTGCATGAATTTGGGATTTAGACTTGCATATCGGCTCAAACACCTTATATGCAATGTTTGATTTTCATAGAAAGCATTCAAGACCATTGCCAGTTGCAAAGTAACTATATGAATGATTTGCTAGCATCTCAAAATACAGCATGAATAAATCCAATTTTGTGTTACTACCTCTAAAAAGTTATAAAGATTCATATTGCATTATGTGCGTGCCTCATTAAATACTAACTCCAGCTTGATTTTTTTCTTCTAAGATAGGAATGTGAGTTTATTCTTTATTTAACACCAAGGATTAATTGTGTCTTAGCTTGCTCGCATAATACAAAAAAATTAGAGGAATCAGCATTCAAGAAAAATAAAATTGGCGTTGCCTTGATGATTGGTTGTTTTTTGTGCTATTATCAGGCCCTATTATTGGTCATTCGAAAGGATCTTAATAAGTTAAGTATGAGTTGATTAAGAGGTCAATCTGTTTTTTATTATACTTGAAATTTTTTTGGAGTTAATTGTGATTAGGACTGACCCAGATCTAATAAGAGGCCATATTTCAACAAATTCAATTCGTATACCTGACTTGAGTTTCTTTCTCTATTATTATGTAAAATTTGTTGCTACACTTTGCCTATCAGAGCTAATGGTTCCTTCAACTCAGGTTTCATTAGTATCCAAGGATGATATGGATGCCATCATTCGACTACTTATGAGCTATGCTCCACAACAGAAGGAAAAGTCTGCACAAGATGGCTGACATTATGCATTGTGAGGGTCTTGTGATGGTTGGGGTTAGATTTCAATCGCCTTCTCTAGTGAATAAATAAGATAGGATTTTAATACATAATGGAAAGGCCATCTTTGAAATGTGTGATCTTAGTAGGATGAGAAGAATGTGACTATGACATCAAGGGAGGGTGAATATAAAATGGATTGTATTAAGTGAAGAGGGGGATGTTGCAAGAAAAGAAAATGATAACACTTAATTTTGGAGGGCAGATTTGAAAGAAGGGATGTAGATGACTATTGAAGTAAGGAGGATGGTCACCAATGCATTGCTTTAGGTTGTGATAATGACAAAAAGTAGTGGTGTTGAGGCTATGAAAGCTGACGATAGTGTTGGTACGTTGGGGGAAAGGATGCTATGCAAATGTGATTAGGGAGGGATATAAATATGACTTTATTCTAGTCCAAAAGCCTGCTAACATAATTAATTAAGTTCATCTAATTTGACTAAGTTAGCCTAGACGTGAAATCTAACTTTAATTCTAGGTTAGGGTTATACACTTATACATTTAGATTGAATTTGATTTAATCATGCCAACTCATGTTATTTAAATAAACTTTTGACTTGGGATTAGAAACAATATTGTTTAAAAGGTCTAAGTACATGGTTATTAGTTTCCCAAGAATATGACCTATAAGTGATGTGATGCAATGGAGAGTTACACAAGGACTTTAAAAGAGAATTAAATATTGGCTACACAAATTATTTAATCATGCATCAAAGTCAAGTAAACTATAAGAAACTCGCGATGTTTAATTTGCTAGGCAAGAAAATACAATGAGAGAGCTAAGTCTTTTAAGCAATTGCAAAAGAAAACATAAAACAAAAGCTGGTAAATAAAAATCCCACGGTTAATACCAAGTTGTTCACACTTTGAGACCTTTAACACTCTTTTCCTACGAAGACTAAGTTGAACGGCAGAAGATTGTCCAAGCTAGCAGGGATGTTGCCACTAAGATGGAAGCGCCAAGGAACGTCGCCGTGGAAAAAGATCTTGGAGGCGGAGGAGGCACGGTAGATTGACCTTCGATAAGCCAAGTGTAGTCGGAGAAGTGTTCGTCGATTGATTCTATGAGCGTCGGCACGATGCGGGCCAAATATTCCTCGACGGTATCGTCGAAATCAAATCCGACGTCGAAGAATTGTGACCGGAGGATGTCGACCCTTCCGTTATTGTCGTACTCAAAACCGTAATTCCACTCGGGTTCGTCCATGCATCCTTGAATTGGATCCGGATGGCTACCGCAAGCAAGAACTTCCAAGGAGGCCGGGTGGGGCGGCGGTTTGGCTAAGGGAGAGGGGAGCCGGCGGGAGAATAGGGAGGGAGGCGGGCTGGATGAGGGAAAAAACTGAAGTTTATTTCAGTTTTGTGAAATTAGGAGGGAGGGATTTAGGGATTTGAAATTTCAATTAATGTAATTAATGCATTAATTGAAAATTTCAATTAGGGAGATATTATGGGGGAGAAAACTGAATTTATTTTCAGTTTTAAGAGGATTGGAGGGAAAGTTTCAATCCTAATTTGAATTTCAAATAGGATTTAGGAGGTTTAATTAAGCATTAATGGGGTTTCCCCATAGGGAGGCCGGCGGCATGGTTAGAGAGGGAGGGGTTAGGGGAGAGAGGAAGGGGGGTTTCCAAGTGGAATTTGATGACTAGGAAAATCTGAGAATAAATCCACTCTCATGCAAAATTTTATTTGGATTGATTTCAAAAACTTTCCAAAAATAGACTTTCCCAATATGGAAAGTAATGAAATTTGAAAATCCAATTTCAATGAGGAATTGGGGAAAGGAGGAGGGGAGAAGTGGTGGAGAGGAGGGATGGCCGGCGGCAAAGTGGCCGGCCGGCGGGCCTTGGATGGTCGGCGGGTGGGTGGGCTCCAAGGAGAAAACTTACTTCAAGAAAATTCGGCTCCTTCTCACGGTTGCGTATTGTGTGTTGAAGTTGTAGGTGGAGAAGATGAAGGAAGCATGTAACGATTTTGAGAACTCACTAAGAGATCTCTAATGGAACTTACAAAGAGATCCAAAACGTGGCACTCACAAAGAGAACACAAGCATAATTTTCATTCAATAATCCAATAATCCTCATGCAAGATACAATGGCCATATAAATAGGCCCCAAAGAAAATAAAGTGCAAAAGTCTAAAATGCCCCTTGGGCTTACAAAAACAACAACTACCCTCAGGGGTAAAATGGGAAACTACGAAAATAAAAGCATAATATGCAAACTGATGGTACAAGAAAAAAATCAAAAATAAAGGCTAGCAATCATGGCCGTCGATCTCCGTGGTCGTCTCTGATAGACGCGCCGAAATCTCCTATCGATGACCTCATCAATAAGCTAGATCAATTATGGCACTGAATGATCAATCTCTATGACATCATTCATTACATAGAAGATGCTTTTGCAAGTTATGATGATGCGGTGTTCTATTTCTATCTTTATAGTTTTCTTTTGCGGCTATTCTTGAAGCAAGATTCTTTGAGCACTTCTATTGGCTTAGGGGGCTTCACAACAATATTGTTGAAAAAGTCTAAGCACATACTTTCACATTTATGGGTTATTGGGTTCACAAGAATATGACCTAAAAGCTAGATCCATTATGGTACTGAATGACCAATTTCTTGATCAAATGGAAATCCATTCATTGAACAAAATATGCTTTTGCAAGTTTTGATGTTATGGCGCTCTATTCTTATCTTTATAGGTTTCTTTTGTGGCTACTCTTGATGAAGCTCCTTTGGGCACTTTCTTTGGGTTTTGCGTGCAGTTAGTGCTGCTATTTAAAGCCCTTTTGTTGCGATTGTTCTGCAAGTATTTCTATAGCTATTTAGGTTCCTTTGGTTGCGTCTATTCAATGGGCAGTTATTGTGCTAATCCTTCAATTCTTCCATAATAGCTCTTTGCAAGTGGTTAGTTGTGATTCATATAGGTTTATGTTGTTTTACTACCTCCTTGGCGGTTGTTTCTACCTAATTACTCCTACATTAGATTTATAAATTTGCCTTTTAACATGCATAAAAAATTATTTGGATTAATAGAAATTTTTTTGTAGAAAGTTTTTGGAAACATAAATCATTATTTTTTGAGGATTCTAGTCTCTGATCAAGTTTGAGCCTTAAAATATTCCAGGAGAGCTGTTCTTCTTATTTTAGTCTGAGGCTTATTTTGTCAATTATTTTGTTCTCTCTTTTTCTTCATCTTTAAAATTATTAAATAATTATTTTAAAACTAATAGTTTGCTTTCCCCTTAAGTTGCATGTTTCTTGTATTAGTTCGTCTTCATCTAATTTTTTGTTGAATGCTGGGTGTGCATTAGAAATCTAAGATGCTAAAATGTTCTATATCAATCAAGTTTATGACCTGTTAGTCTACCTGCTTCAACTCATAAAATCTCTAATGGTGCATGATAAGTTATGTGCATGTACAAAATATTAGCAAGCAACCTTTTTTCAATCACCCATATGTAGTTTGTTATGTGCTTGCTAGGTTTTGTTTTTAAGTGCAAGTTGTGTCATGAAGCATTGTTTAAGTGAACTATGTAATTCATTATGCTTTTCTCTGATGCATCAAACATAATGCTCTTTTTTCTTTAATTTTTTATAAACAATTGTAATAAATATAAAAGGGATTTTGATAAAAAACAGAATCATTAAGGAATTTTGTTAAAAACATTTATCATTATAAATCATTGAAAAGAAAAAGAAAAAGAAATAGATTTCACAATTCCCTTTGGAATTCCGTCCAACTTATAAATCACGCAGCATGTTACTGCTTTGACAGTTAAGTATTGCGTCAGGTTAGGTATAGGATGGGCCAACCAAACTCCTCGTTGTACAAGTTGAATTCTAAAGATGCTTTAAACCTCCTCTAAAATTTAGTTCACTGGGTTTTTCCATGCCTCAAAAAAGAAATTTTAATTACCCAAACACCTTGCCAGGATTCTATTTGTTTGTTTTTTTAAATTATTGAGCCCGCAATATCTTCTGCTGAGAAGTAGCAGGGATAAGATAGTCAAGAGAGGAAAGAGGAGATTGAGGGTCAGATTAAGCGGGAAGGAGGAGAGTTTGATTATTTAAAGGAGGAAGAGGGGATCAAAGAAGAGTAAAGGAGCAGATCTAGCAAAAGGAGGAATCTAAACTGGTGCAGAAGTTATGCAAAACAATGGGGAGATGACTGTTATGATGCTGCCCATCTTGGCAGCTGTGGTTAATGTATCCTAACGATGTTGGAGGTTGCATTTAGGGAAATAAGGGGGTAGAGAAATGAGAGATGTGTCTTATAGGGAGAGAAAATATGTGGAAAAGCTAGGAATATTGATTGAAATGGAAATATTCAGGTTATTTTACACCTTAGAAAAATTTTTTATGTTACATTCATGATGAGGCATGACAGAGTGAATTAGCCTTGAACCCCCACCTAACCGTTTCCTCATCTGTTCCCGTTGCCAATGGACTTATGAAAACCTTCCTTCCGGTTGTGCTCACTGCCGAAATCCATCCAAACTGTTGTGATTTAGAGCAGCTTAAACAAATTTATTGTAGGGTTTATAGTCATGGGTATTATTGACATCCCTGTTGATGCTTTTCTTTGATATTACATTTTTCCATTGCTTTTTAGATACTTAATTACGCATTCGCATCTCAACACTTCAGCCCTTGCTTTTCATGTTGTATGCTTGCACCTTCATGTTTATTTTGTCCAATCCTATCTACAATGATATTCCCTATATGCAAAGAGTCACTGAAATTTTCTCTAGATTTTCTTATTTTTGCACAATTATTTTTTAGCTAAGTCTCTTGTATAAATTATATTTATGTGATCTTTCGTTCATATTTTATCACAGAAAGAAATAGATGTAAAAAATCCACTTTGGAGACCATCTCACACCGCACCTGCTCTTATATTAAAAGCATATAGTAAATTGCAAATTTTCATAACATTCACTAAGATGTGCATTATGCATTTCAGTTTCAAGCACGAAAACCTCATGAACTTTATGTTAGACCGGCCCATCCTGGGCCGGTTGGACCGGTCCAACAGGGACCGGTCCAATTCTACACGAGGCGGAGACGGACGGGGCGGGCGGAAGGCGCGATCCGCGTGGAGCTGGAGGGGGAAAGTTAGGAGGGAAATTTTGAACGTGTGAGGCTGTTTTAGGAAGTTTATGATTGTCCTTTATTGTCCTTTATGATTAATTCTGTATAATTAGGAGTTTGGGGGGAAAAGGAGGGGTATCTTGAATTTGAGTTTTCTCTTTGAGATCTAGGTTTTGTTTTGGGCTCTTGGCTTTGCCGGAGACTTTGGAGAGTACGTTCTTCCTCTCGAATTGAAGAACAAATTGTATCTTTGTTATTTGTTTCGTCTACTAGTAAAAATACAAGTCTTTGCTTGCGTTGTCTCTCAATATTCTCGCATTATTCACTGTTTTCCCTGCGCATAGTTGCTGTCCACTGCTGGAGACAGCAGTTTTCTCCTTGTTCGGCTTCAGTTTTGGTTAGGAACTACTTGATTTCAAGTATTTCCTATCACTTTACTATCTGTATCAAAACATATATGCACTCTACAATTTGTTTTGCACTTTAAAGGTGCTTAGTGTATTTTTAGTGCTTATCCTTGAAGCTTTGAATGCTCGGCTGCTTTGTTGTAAACTTGCATTTGATTGGTATGTTAAAATAGTCTCATCTGATGAAAATACGAGGCACTATAAACTAACGCATTGATACCTATATGACAATAGCAACTTTGTGATATGGTAAGGGGTATATATATGTGTGTGTATACTTAAAAGTTGATTTGCAGATTTCCAAACTATTTTTTGGCGTTTCACGCTTTAAGAAGAACAACCTTTTTCTTTTAGTTAGTGGAATTTCCCTTTGCTGGTGATTTATTTCTTGTTTATCTACTTGCATTTGCATGCAGGAGCCTTACCCTTCGGTTAAAAACATTCTTCTTCTCGACTCCGAGGGGAAGCGTGTTGCTGTTAAGTACTATGCTGATGATTGGCCCACTCAAGCTGCAAAGCTAGCATTTGAGAAATCTGTTTTCACCAAGACTCAAAAGACAAATGCTCGAACTGAAGGTGAATACTTGCTATATTAACAATATATTTTTTTATACATTTTCAGGCACATGTTTATTCTTCCGCTTGATCATGTTCAACTGTATTTGCTCAGCCCAATGTACAGCTATATCAATTGACTCATATAGAAGATTAGATACTTATTACAGATTGCTTAGTGTACATTGTGTTTGTTTTATAAGATAGGAGTGTGGTGGTGTTTTTAATTGTTTCCTGAAAATCTTTAACATGTGCGGAAGCTTCCTTCTCAGTTTTTTTCAACCCAACAATAGTTCTCATGAGAAATAAGTCTCTAATTTTAGTATGTTTATTATTGGTCATGCTTCATACAGTGCATCTCAAATGGTACCCAACCGGAGAAAATATGCTTTTTAATTTGATGTTTTGTGTCAAACTATTTTTAGATTATAGCTTCATCTTTTAGCAAATTCTATTGCGATCTAAACCCTTTTGGGTTTAGGGCTGAGAAAGAGCTGAGATTTTGAGCTGATTTAGCCCTACCTTGAAATCAGCTCATGACTTGAATTAGTTCGATTTATGTTGGTTTGACTTTAATTGGTTTGATTTCATGCCATTTTGTATTCAATTATTTAACTTATTTATTTAATTTTATATGCATACTTATTCCTATATCATGGTCTAAAGAATTGATAAAAATTGAGCTGTTTTATTTGTTTTTTTTTGCCTATAACAACAACTTTTTTTTTGGGACCTTTGAGTCAATTAAATCAAACTAACACACCCAACCCATGCAAAAGCTTCGAACTCAAGACCTCTTTATTTGTAGCCAAAGATCCAACTAACAGATAAAGATGAGTTGCGTATCTGAAACAACTTATCTGGTCTACTTCTTTTGTTTCACCTGATTTTGATGTGTAATTGGTAGTTTAACCTTATTCAGGCAATTTATGGTGACAATTATTAAGTAGCTCAGCCTTTTCTATCTTGTGCTAGGGCTTGAGCTTAAAAATAATTTAAAATTGGAGCTAAAATTCCAAAAAATCGATTTGTGTCTCAGCTCTTTGATATTTTCCTGCTCATTCGGCTTGACTGGAGCCAAAAATTGATATAGTTTTGTGTTCATTATCACATGAAAAAGATGGCAATATAGCTTTGTTAAACTTTTTTGCTCATTATCTGTAGCAGTTTCATTGTCCATGTTGGGAAGCATAAAACTAGCAAAGCTCTCAGCCTCCAACTTGCTGCTATGATGAAAATACTTGCATGGTTCCACTCAAGCACAGCTTTAATCAATCTTTCTTTTCAGTCAAACTGCTTCTAGATTAGAGTGATTATAAAATACAAACTAATAGAGTTAACCATGTGGAAGAGATTACAATTTTTTATAACAATACCATTATTGTATTTATGTTCTCCTGGCTTCTAAGCGTATTGTTGACACTTAAATGCATCTTGTTGCTTTTACCATCCTTTATGAAGAATAACTTTTTAAGCTTTTTCTGGGTTTCTGATTTTCACCTGATCTTTGCAGCTGAGATAGCTATGTTTGATGGCTACATTGTTGTTTACAAGTTTATTCAGGACCTCCATTTTTTTGTTACTGGTGGGGATAATGAGAATGAGCTTATATTAGCAACTGTACTTCAGGGATTCTTTGACGCAGTTGGTCTTATTCTCAGGTCTTGAAAATTGTAGCATTTGAATGTTCTTTATGTTTGAAGCCATATAAAATCATCACTTGTATTAGAATTTGATGATTAATTGTCGGATGCTATCTCTTTTCAGGAACAATGTAGACAAGAGGACAGCACTTGAAAACCTGGATCTGATTCTTTTGTGCCTCGATGAAATTATTGATGGAGGGTATATATATATACAGCTTTCTTTTGCTCCTTTAGCAATTCGTGAACAAACTTTAAGCTTTATTACTAATTATATTTCTTGTTGGTTGAAAGTCATTTGCTAAGAAATTCTTATTAAAATTGCAACTATAGCTGGTTTTTCAACTGATAGGAGATGAAGAAATTGAACTGCCAGGAAAAGAGAATTGTTATTTTAGTAGAATTTTACTTGAACAGTAAATCCGTTGACTAAAATTTTGTCAAATTGAAACATAAATTGTTTCCATTTATCATAGGCATCATTTGTTTATTGTGTAATGCCATATTCCTTAGCGAATGCTTCAGATTATTCGCAACTTAATCGCTTTTTTGGATCTCTTGGGCTTTCAGGATCATATTGGAAACTGAAGCTAGTGTCATTGCTGGGAAGACCACCTCAGATAGCCTTGATGGGATGTCTTCATTATCCGAGCAGGTGTGTTAAAACTTCATTATCATATAATTATATTCACACCCCTCTTGCTTTGAGTAGAGAGAGAGAGAGAGGAGTAATTATTACGTCCGGACAAAAAACCGGAAATCCAGACGTATACCGAGCAATACCGAGTTTCAGGTGATGTAGCGCGTGATTATTGGTCTCTGGACGCGTCAGGTGACGTGACGTAATAATTGCTCGAGAGAGACGTTTATGTAGCGGTTTATCTAATTTTCCATTTTTCCTGTCTACAGACTATATCGCAAGCCCTTGCAACAGCACGAGAACACTTAGCAAGATCCCTTCTTAAGTGATGAGATGAGACTGTCTCTTCCATTTGAGTTGATCCATGGATTGAGCAGCCTCTGAAGATTTCATTCGTCATATTTGTTTCTTTTAAAAAAAAAGAACGTTGAGTTCATTTTGAACTATGTTAGGATTAAGATGATTTTTCATATCTAATTCCTGCAAATGAAGTTTTTATGAGGAGCATACTCAGTGATTGCAATATGAAACTAAGCTGCTGGGAAGAGAATTAATAAGGGTCTAAGAAATTTGTGAAGAGAATCATATATGATTGTAATGTCTTTCTCTCTCTCTCTTCTATTTTTTCTCCCCCTAAAAAGGAGAAAAAAAAAAAAAGAATCAGAAGAAAAAAATAAAAATAAAAAAAATTTCAAGTGTGTGCCTTGTTTGATGCGATGGATACAAATAAATTACTCATTTTAAAAGAACATAATACTTATAAGAGGATAGATGTGAACAATAAGGAACTTAAATTGTCAAGTAACAAATATGCAATAATGTTAACACATTCATGTGAATGATTTTCAAATAAGATATAATGATCAAACATATTGCTTATCATGGATTTTACAAATTGTCTTTTAAAAATTGAACTTGTCATTTCATGATGCTCTTGTGCAAGTCGCTTAGTTTATAAGGTAGTGTCAGAAATCCTGCATTTTAAGTTTGATCATTCTTCTTGTAAAGATTAGAGTTGAGAAGGCTTGAATCTCATGAGAGATATATGAGCAATAAATTTCAAATAGCTCCCCATGAAAGAATTATTTTTAAATCTTATTCAAATGAATGTATGCATTGTTGCAAACTCCATGATGATATTTGCTTTTATATTTGATGTATCATCAAAAAATTATATTGATCGGGCATGAATCTCGAGGCAAAATCAAGTTGGAAACTTCCAAAATTAAATATGGAACCATCCAAACTCTGATTTAAGCAAACTTACATTCGAAATGAACGTCTCAGAAATACGAACCCAACGACACCAAATTCAACTAAATCCGAGCCCAAATGGGTCCAAATCAAAGACCCGAAGAACATTTAGAAAGTTTAAACCATAAATTGGATGAATAAATGATTTCCAAATGTGACGTGGTTTCAGTCGAATCGAGTAGTTCGACGAGATAAATCCAACGAGCCCAAGATAGCTAAATTCTTATATCATTAAGACATTTAAATGTCTAGTAAACTGTCTGTATCACATTGACCGTTCATTCAAACCACTCCCAACTTACCTTTAATATTCTTTCTATTTACTAGTCATGTCACTCTTAGAAAACTATAAATATACCCCTCATTTTTCATGGAAGATGACCAAAAGAAAAAAAGAAGGAAGAGAGCTCTCTTGCCACCAGACTCCTCCTCAACCACCGCCAGACTTCCACCAGGCCACTGACTGTCGTCGAACTTTCGCTCGTCCATCAACTGTCGCTGGACTTCTGCCTGGCCGCTAACTAACGCCAAACTTTCGCTTGGCCTTTGACTGACATCAGACTTCTGACATTAGTCACATTACTATCAACCAATGCCGAATTTTCACCCAACCACCGACTGACGCCGAACTTCGACCCGACTATCAACCGACGCCGTATATCTACCTGACCAACAAATGTTACCAGACTTCTGCCAGTTCTCCGTTTGACACTAGATTTTCAATAATCTAGAGGGGATTATATCTTTTAAAATGCACTCAAATTTTAAAGTTAATCACTTGGAACTTAAATTCTAATAAAATTTAAAAGTTCATTTATCAAGATCTAAAGTTATTTAGGCAAAATCCACTGTCTTTAACTTAAATGGAAGAGATTGATAGAACTTGATAGTTTTACTCGCACTGTTTCTTTCAGTTCAATCAAGGATGAAGCTATTTGCAGTTCAGCAGATGAACAATTTACTCTCAAATATTCTTAACTCTTTTCTTATAAATGATGGCATCATAATTAAACCTGATATTCTATGTTGATTTATCTATTTGGAATTTTTTTGATAAGATGCATCTTTACAAGTAGGGGATTGTTTCATCAAAGATTTACTGTAAGTGTAAAGACTTACAGAAAATGACTTCAGAAAATTTGGAGTTCATTCTCAGATTGGAAGTATGCAGTGAGTTTCTTGTCATTGATGAAGCAAAAACTTATAAAAAAGTTGATTATAAACCACTTTTAAGTCACCTTAGCTATAACTTTTTGGAGGACTTCAAATAGTGCTTGTTTAATTCCTCAGCAAACTAATCCACAACACAAAACTCCAAACTCTACATATAATTTTCAATTGCATGACCAAAAGGGTACAGCTATTTTCAGGTGGAACATATTTGGCCATTTCATAATATGACAAACAAGTAATGGAAGTCCTCACATTTAAGACAACAATCAAGAAGGAAGACACTTCAAAGTCTTGTGAAGAACATTTTGCCCAGAAGAGAAGGAGAACCTCAGTGCTATATTTAAACAAAGAGAAATGCTTTTAAAAAGATCTTCAAATACAATTGAAATATTTTAAAAAGGGATCGGCTGGTGTTTGCCAGCAAGAAGTACCTCTTCAGCATAAAAAAGATTAATGCAGTAGAGCCATAGTTTGGAATGGTATATTGGCATGAAAAATAAGGAAAAAAAGAAGAAGAAGAAAAGAAGCAAAAAACAAACTCAACCTTCAGGTTCAGTTCATGGAGGTAGTCTTCCAGATAAATAATGAGACAACTTATCCCTTGTTGTGACTCCATCCTTGTCAGAAAAATTGCAGAGCTGCTGCTTATAATTTACATCATGATGGTGAGATAGAACCATCTCACTCTCACTTCATCTTCCTGGTCAATAACAATATTATGTAGAATACAGCAAACAAGAATTATCCTTGGCAGTTTATGCTTATCTGGTCTCCACATCTCACCTTGAACTATCCTCCACATATCTTTGAACCTCGCCAATGCCCTCTGCGCCACAATTCTGGTTGCAGAATGTCTCTTGTTGAACTCTATCATGGAAGCACATAAATCTTTGCCTTGGTAAGGTGTGAGAAGCCAATGAAGGAGTGGGAAAGCTGCGTCGCCTATTATATATTCGCTTATTTCTGATCCGTCTTTGAGCTCCATCTTTCCATTTAATCTCGAGCCCTTTTCACAGAGCTTGAAGAAGCCGGAGTCATGAAGGATAGCGAATTCATTCATGCTTCCAGGCCATCCAGTGACAATGTCCCTGAATCTCATTTCAGGGTCAACAATAGCTTGCAGTATCATGCTATGGTTCTTCTCAGGATCAAGCCATACCTTGTTAGAAGAATCTGCAGAAGGAAGGCACATCATGATATGGGTGGTGTCGATGGCTCCGCAGCAGTTTGGAAGGCCCCGGACTCTCTCAAACTTGTATTTTATTGATTTAATTTCCTGTTCAGAGTTTGGCCATTGGAGATGATGCATGCCTCTCTCTTCCATGGTCTCAATGAACCGCCATGTCACCTGGGCAACTGTTGAATGGTTCAGACCAAACGATAGGCCTATGCTCAGAAGGGAATCGCCGGAGCTCAGCCTTCGCAAAGCAATAGCTACTTGATCTTCAATAGACATAACCTGACCATTTGCAAAGACTACATTTGATGTCTTTGCCATTAGGTCATCCCTAACTAAAGAACAGATATAATTGAAGGTCTTCCTTGAGATCTTGAAGACAGACTCAAACCTTCCTACATCTTTCGATAAAGATAATGATCCTGTTGCAGAAAACAAAAGAAGAAACAATCTCCCATAAATATAGGGAAAGAGAGCATCATACAATGCTTCTCAAAAAGAAAAAAAAAAAAAAACTTTCATTTCTTCAAGTATTAATTGATAGAATATGCAGAGCAGATAAGAAGAAGAAGAAAAGAAAAGAATATGAAGAGCAGACAGTAGGACAACTAAGAAGAGAAAGATCCAGTAGAACAATAATTTGATAAGAGAATATGGATGATAAGCATCTCTGTGTTGTAATGAACAAGTTGAATTATACAAAATGGATTGACATAGCCTCAAAGCTGTTCCTTTTCCAACAAAAAGAGAAGCTAGATGCTTTAGACCTATTTAAGATAAAAAGAAACTCAAATGAAAGGCTTTTTGTAGTGCACAAATAATTCAAATGCATGATGCACCACCTGCCTAGGGCACTTTCAGCATTTTTATTTATAATTATCCTTCAAATGTTCACTAGAACTTCAAGCGGACAACCTGGTTGTACTGTCTTCTTGCTGCTAATTTTTCAGAGAAACGTAAGGGTCTCTCCTCTTAAAGGTCTAATAACTTTGTAGAGGCATCCATGTAGTATTTCCACGGTAGCATACTGAGAATGACTATGGAAGAAAAGTTGCTAAACCAGTGAACGAACATAAAAAATGCTTAATGATTTTTATAAGTACTGCCAACAATATGTCAACACCTTACTTACTCAAGCTAATGCTATTCGTTATAAGATGGAAGGATGCTCCATGAAAAGAAATTAGCAATTTTCATTAAGGAATGAAAAATCAATGCCAACTCATAGCAACTATTAAACCTGTAAAAGTAAAACATAAATGCTAAACAATAGGCACCACCAGAACATTATCTGATCTAGTGCTTCTGGCAATAAGCAATCTTAGGCTTCATTTGGGACGGCTTTCTTACTGCTTCTTAAAGCAGCTTTTTAGCATAAAACTTTTATTTTTTTTACTAGAAAGCTACTTTAAGAAGTAGTAAGAAAGCCAACCCAAATGAAGCCTTAATGTCTGTTGCTTGGATTTCCAATGAATCATAAATGCAATTACTTAAAAATGCAGTATATAGACACTTGCATCCTTTCGAAACGTCTTAAGAAAAATACCAGTCCCTCTACTACGTATCTTTTAATAACATCTTATTCAGACTCGGTTTATTTTCTGATGACTGCTTCTAACCACATATAACCTATATCGTCAAAAGAAATCCATCACTACTTAGTTTAGAGTATCTTTTCCAGCATGTTCTGCTTTGCAACTTTCTATCACCGCTTAATTTGAAACCATCATTCCATCTGCTTCTTTTTTTAAATAATCAATTTTATGTTTCGTTTGGGGGGACGGTAGTGCAAGATGCCCCTATGAAAATTAAGAAGAAGAAAGAGGCACCTCAGTCAGTCCTTATATGCAGCTGAAGCAAAAGCATGTGTCTGAAGATTGGCTTGAAGAAATCCTCGGATAGCATGAATAGCAGTGCTTCCGAGTAGGGGTGCAAACGAGTCGAGTCGAGTTTGAGCCAGGGGTTGTTCGAGTCGAGCTTGACTATCTAATACCGAGCTCGACTCGTCTTCATGTTGAGCAGCTCGTCGAGCTCAGTCCCGAGCTCCGCTTTCGAACTTGTCGCATTCGTCGTCCCTCGTACGTTGTCACGTCTGTCTTCCCGACCTCCACCGTCGATATACTTGGTCTCGAGCTCATCATCTTCTTCCCGAACTCCGACGACAACGACCCGAGGACCTGAACCTCGAAAAAGACGAATGCCGTCGTCCAGATCTTCTCCGTCATCTTCCCGAACTTCGGCGATGTCATCCCGAGGACCCGAACTTGTAGTCGAAAATGACTGACGTCGTCGTCCAGAGCTTGTCCGCCGTCGAGATCCACGTGCGAGCTCCATCAATTTGGATTTCCCATTTGTGAGCTATGTCATTTTCGATTTCCCACTCGCAAGTTCCATGGATTAGAATTTCCCGCCCGCGAGCTCCGCTGTCGAGCAGCTCGTCAAGCCGACGAGTCGAGTTCGAGGCCTGTTCGAGCTCGAGCTCGATAAGCTCGACTAGTCGAGCCTGTTACCGAGTCGAGTTCGAGAAAGCTCGCGAGTCGGCTTGATTGGTTGAAACTCTACTTCCGAGTAAGGTCTACAAACTAAGAAGTGTTGCTTATTGAATGATATTTGTTCATAAGATAGTGATGGATGATGCAATTGCTGCAATCGTCAAGAACGTGTCCAACATAGCTACTATAACAAGCAATACAGAAGTCAACAGGACAACATTGAGCATCATCCGGACTTCAAATGGCTACAAAGAGGGGAATGCCTATTTCAATAGTTACGATATGGACTGTCGACAAAGAGAATAAATATCATATGGAAGGCTCAAAATACAAGCACTTCAGATACGTGTGCACAAAAGTCAAGAGATTTACAAAATGAAAAGAGCAATGTCTGATCTATAAATGATTGTGCGGCAGTCGCCTCAAATACTCATATAATGCTGAAAGGAAGTGTCTCATCCATGAAATTTCTCTAGAGATTTTTCATTAGCAGTGAAAAACTTCCAAATTATTTGAAAATGAGTATCATTTAGACATTTACAAAAGGTGATAGCAAAAACTTTGTCACCATTGCTTGCTCTTCGTTTGCCATGTGTGGCTCCTTGTCACAGGTTCGATCGAACATAATTCCTCACCTATGGCCGACTAACATACCATTGAACCAACTGGTTTACCAATTTAGGGTCATTTGAGCTTCAACTAAGTATAGCATATCAGATTTTATATGGTGCTTAACAAGTCATGCTAAGCTTATTTGATCATTGATTCAACTGAATTAGGCCAATTGAGTACTCGATCAATATTTTTGAGTTGCCTTGAGATGCACATATTATGTAAGAAGTTGAGTGTAATTAGACAGGATTTTTACAATCCCCAAAACTTATGAAGATAAATCACTTATGTAAGCAACAAAAGAAATCTTTTCTCCCTTTGAAGGAAATAGAAATCAAATAAAATCTCTAAAACTTGGTTCATATAATTCAAGCATCTAGTGTATGCGTAATTCTTAGCTCATTCAAAACTCAAGAAATTAGTGCATCTTAGAGTTGCATCACTAGGTTAGTCCATTATTGCTTTTGACACCAACAACAAAGAACAAGAGACATTTATAATTACAATTCTAACTCCAAGTTTCGCAATCAAGAATTATAGCATTCAACATGGACACTTTTATTGGTCGATCCTAATTCCTCACATATAGCATTATTGTAAAATCTTTCATTAAAATCTAATGATACATATTGAAGAACATGACAGTTTTATTAAAAAAAAAATAAAGAATAACTATAAAGCATGCCATCAAATATGGTAAAATTTTATTAGCATATTTTTTAGCCCTTAAAGGAAAAGTGAAAATTTGTGAGTTTTTCCTATGAACATAGTTGCATAAATCGAATACATTGGGTGATCAAGTAATTAAAAAAATAGATCTAGTGGTGGGATTGTGACATTGGGTGATCTAGTCTTTAAAAAAGTGCATCTTTTAGATATCTCGAGCCTATTGTTCAATGCGATGGTGAAATAGATGGGAATATTATTAGTAGAATCCAAGCTGGATGGTTGAAGTGGAGGAATGCATCGGGCTTGCTGTGTGGTAGAAAATTATCATGTAAACTTAGGAAAAAAATTATAAAATGAAGGTGAGACCTGCATGCTTTATGGCACACAATGTTGGCCATTAAAAGAGAAGCATAAAATTAAGTGTTGAAAAGATGAGGATGCTCAGGCAGATGAGTGGCTTTACACTTAGAGACATAATGCGTTATGAGCATATACATAAAAAGGTTGGAGTAACTCTAATGGCAGATAAGCTATATGATGCGTCGACACTTCTCCTCAAAGAGGTATGTAGTGTCCGACACATATCAGACATGCCAAAAATGTGTCTAACTAAAAAAATATATAAAAAATAAATTGGACAAACGTGTCTAACATGCATGTGTAAAATACTTTATGAACTTCTTTAATTATAATTTAATTTTGGGACATTCTGACACCTGGACCTATTCTTCGCAATAGATGCTTTTTAGCAGGAATCACATCATCAACTTCATCTTCTACCTCCTAATCTGCAGCTGAATCAGGTACCTGGGTAGAAATGATTGACTTTTGTGGAACAAGTGGAGTTGCATTTGAATCAAACTCCAGCTTCTGCAGTGCATCTACGGTCCCAGACTCCCAGTGGACTCTCCACCTGCTTAGAGTCTCGAGGCTTCAACATACTCGCCTAATCAAAAGTACCATCTCTACTGACGACCATTGTTTAAAATTGCGCAATACGATGCTTTCCTTGAGATTCGCCTCAGCGCAATTTTAGTGAAAAACGCCTCGAGGCTTATGCCTCTAGCTTTTTTATGAGGCTTAAGCCTCAGCTTGGCTGAGGCCCGCCTTGAGGTACGTCTCGCCTCGCTAGCATGAGGCTTACGCCTCACCCTATTTGTATTTTTTTTGGTTAAAACTAACATAAATCATGCATTCAAGCACATTTGAGCACAACAACTTCCTCTCGATTGCATCTACCTCTATCCCGCGGCTTTCGCCGTACTCGTCACCGACAATCACTTGAAAGATGCACAAAACTATCCTAAAAATTTTGGAGCATTAATCTCATATTTATGTTGATGAAAATATTTCTAAAAGATGAATATGATTGATATAAATTAAAAAGAAGCATATTGGGAGGCATTCAAGTCTACCAAATGAGGAAGGGGATAGACTAATTTGTTATGCAACAACTTGGATAAAGACCACCTCAGTGATGACAGTGCAAATAATTCTTAAGTTATTGCCAACTATTACAGTTTTCACTAAGAATTAAATGTAAGTGAGTAAAGAATTGATAAAAAAAAATTTTTGGAGTTGAACTTGATGTTATATGATACTTTATGCAATTTCTATATTTAATATTATTTTGATTTTATAATATTTGG